ATCATGTTCCTAATTTACAATATAGTTTAGATGTTGTAACAACCTAAAACGTTCACACTAACATGATTAGTTATATCAGTACGAAAGATACATTAGACATCTGTCTACTTTAGTTGTATGATTTTAGTTTCAATTTAGAATTAAAAAATTTCTATTTAAAAACGTAAATAATATTTTAAGGGCTAACAGCGTTGGAACAATAAATTATTAACAAAAACTTATCTCCGCGCACTACACTAGTTTAATATAAAATTCAACCAGATTCTACAATTGATTTTTTTATTTTTTATTTTTTAAATGTCACTTTTAATCGGGGCTGAAAAACTCAACTTAAAAAGCCCATAACCAAATGAAATGATTCAAGAGTGTTACTTTGACTTTCTTCCGTTGGCTAATCATGGGATTGGATCTCCGATTACATTAGGTGACAATTGAGAAGACACATGCATTGTTTGTTACTTTGACTTTCTTCCGTTGACTCTAGACATGGCTGTTATCTTTTAATCCTCCACAGTGCTTCAAAGAAATGTCATTCTCATGTCAAAAAGATTCCGACGAAGCCGGCTTGGTGAATCTGAAGCTATTGTAAGCTGTTAGATAGTTTCACTTTAAGCCGAGGAACTCTAATCCGACTGCGGTTGGACTCAACCCGTACTGAGCCAAGTAGTTAGGGTCGTGAAACTTGCTTAGATGTCTCATTCCACTGTCGCAAAGAATGGTGACAATTGTGTGACCAGGACCAAGGGTTTGAGCCACCCTCACTGCCCCAACACAGTTCATTGCCGAGGAACTTCCAACAAAGAGCCCATCGTTCTTCAGAAGAAACCTGAGAGGAACATAAATTAAAATCGCAATTTTAATGAATCTTTATCAGTACTCTCTGAAACAGGTATGGCAAAAACATATAAAGAGTGAGCAGTACCTTGACATCTCAACGGCTTCTTTATCAGTACCACGAAAACCGCCGTCAAGTTTCGCCATCAGGAAGTTTTTAGTAAGCCTATTGATTCCAATCCCTTCTGTTATTGTATCGAACGGGTTCCTTAGTCGACGTCCTTCAGCTTCCTCTCTTGTGTACATCACTCCCCTTGTTACTTTATTGTACAGACCAGATCCAGGCGGATCGATCAGGAAGCATTTAACTCTTTTACTCTGATCCTGTTTAAAGCACAATAATATTATAAGCATTGTTTGTTTATCAATTACTCATTCATAAAGATAGGATTATTATAAGCCCTTGATTAAGCATACCTGAAGAAACCTTGAAACGCCAGCTAAAGTACCGCCTGTACCCGCAGCAGCAACAAAGGCGTCGATGTTACCATGAGTCTGGTGCCAGATTTCAGGTCCAGTACCTTCATAATGAGCCCTATAATTTGCCAAGTTTTCAAATTGATCTGCAAAGAAGCCACCCGTAACTGAATCTGAGAAAAAGGAAGGCTCTTTCTCTTCCTCAAGTGCACAACCATTAGTTTTCTCCTCATGTATGCCATTTATCTCGCTCGCTAGTCTTCTCTTCGATGCTAACTCGTTTGCTTCGTCAGCCCGTCGCCTCGCAATGTTGACATAGTGATCTTTGTTAGTTATTGACACTGGCCTCACCCTCTCAACGGTAGCTCCAAGGGCTTCAATGATTTGAGACTAAAAATAAGTCCAACAAGATACAAATTTGAGTAAATGTATAACGCATACAAGCCAATGTGTATCATCAAGGTGTTTGAAAGATCATAAAAAAACCTTTTCAATAGCAGCATCATCAGGTATAAAAACATGACATTTACACCCGTACGCTGGAGCAACCGTAGCAAGACTAATCGCAGTACTCCCTGCACTACCCTCTGTTACAATCCCTCCCGGAAACAGCTTACCAGATTCCAAAGCCTAAACAAAGAAACAAAAAACGATCATTTCGAATTCGATTTCATTCATAATGACCAAAACACTACTAATGAGTAACCAAGCAGATGATTTCAATCACCAAACTCGAAAAAAGTTGAAACCTTTCAATATGCTAATGATTGTTGCAGCAGAAACTACTGAAAATTTATGAGCTAAAAGAGTGTATACCTCTTCAATGATCTTCACTGCAACTCTATCTTTAACACTACCTCCTGGATTCAAAAACTCGCATTTCCCAAGAATCTGAAACAAAATTACATCTTTTAACTCATAATTTACACTATCCGATCGATCAAACCGAGACTAGATGAAGAAAATCGAGAAAAACCTCACATCCTGTAGCCTCGGAGAGACTATTGATACGAATCAGAGGAGTATTTCCAATGGCGTCGACGAGCCCCTTTCTCGTAC